TTTTTTCATCATCGGCCTTGATGGAGGTTGGTCAATTTTTTGTTTTGTTTTTGTTCTTTTGAGGGAAGATTGCCCCTGAGCTGACATCTGTGCCAATCTTCCTCTACTTTCTATGTGGGACGCCTCCACAGCACAGCTTGATGAGTGGTGTGCGGGGCCACACCCAGGATCTGAACCCACAGACCCCAGGCGCTGAAGCAGAGCAGGTGAACTTAACCGCTACACCACCCGGCTGGCCCCAGGTCTCTCAACTTCATTTTTAATCTCTTCAGAGAGCCACGTTTTGTTTCATCAATTATATCTATTGGGATTTTGTTGTGGTTGCATCTTTTTAAATTTTATTTATTGATGCTCTTTATTATTTGCTTCTTTCTGTTTGCTTTGAGTTTTGTTTTCTCTTCTTTTACTTATTAATGTAGTTTAGATCATTGATTTGAGAACTTTTTTTCACAATATAAAAATAAAATTCATAAATGTGCATCTGAGAAATGCTTTAGCTGCATTTCACGATTTTTGCGATGCTCTGTTTTCATTTTTATTCTATTTTTATTCACTTTATTCCATTAAAAATACTTCTCAATTTCTCTTATGGCATCCTCTGTGATTCATGAAGTGGGTGTCTTAATTCCAACTATTTGGAATTTTCCAGATATCTCTCTGTTGTTGCTATTTAGTTGAATTCCATTGCGGTTGCCTAACACACTTTGTATGACTTTTACCTTTTTAAATGTGCTGAGTTTTGGTTCGTGACCAGAATATGGCCCATCTTTGTGAATGTTCCACATGCACTTGAAAAGAACGTGACATTCTGCTGTTGTCAGGTGGGACACTCTATGCCAATCAGATCAAGTTATAGCATTTGTTTTACGTCTTCTAGGTCCTTACTGATTTTTCTCCTTTCTTATTCTGTTGGTTACTCAGAGAAAGGTGTTGAAGTTTCCAACAATATTTGGATTTATGTATTTCTCCTTTCATTTCCATCAGTGTTTGCTTCCTGGATTTTGTATCTCTTTTGTTAGGTGCACACACATTTAGGATTGTCCTTCTTTCTTCTTGAGTTGACACCTTTATCATTCTGTAACATCCCTCTCTGTCTCTGGCGATATTCCTTGCTCTGAAATCTAATTTGTCTCATGTTAACCTAGCCACTCCAGCTTTCTCTTGATTTCTGTTGGCATGGTAAATCTTTCTCCATCCCTTTTTTTTTTCTAAAGATTTTATTTTTTCCTTTTTCTCCCCAAAGCCCCCCAGTACATAGTTGTATTTTCTTCATTGTGGGCCCTTCGAGTTGTGGCATGTGGGACGCCGCCTCAGCGTGGCTTGATGAGCAGCGCCATGTCCATGCCCAGGATTCGAACCAACGAAACACTGGGCCGCCTGCAGCGGAGCGCACAAACTTAACCACTTGGCCACGGGGCCAGCCCCTCCATCCCTTTCTTTTTAACCTGTATATGTCTTAATATTTAAAGTGAGCCTCTTGTACACAGCATACAAGTTGTCTTGCTTTTTTATCCACACTGATTATCTCCATCTTTTAATTGAAGTATTTATACCACATATGTTTAACGTAATTATTGACATAGTTGGATTTTTATCTACCATCTTGCTGTTTTATATTTGTTCTACAGTCTATTTTCCTCTTTTTCTGCCTTTTTTGTTTAAATGAATACCTTTTACTATTCTCTCTGCACCACTGGCTTATTAATTATGCCTATTTTAAAAAGGTTTTAGGAGTGGCTCTATGGCTTAAAATATATTTCTGTAACTTATCATAACAGACTTTCAAATAAGACAGTATTTCACTTATTGTCTGAGAACATCACGGCTGGGCTCCCCCAGTTCCTCCTTCCCAACCTGGCATTTTGCCTCCAACGTGTTAGAATCCCATGACACACTGTTAGGATTTTTCCTCATGTGATTAACTTCTAAAATGACTAAAAACCTGGTGTCTCACAGTTGCCTTCATTTTCACCATTTTCAGAGGCCCTTATTTCTTTGTTTAGATCCAAGTTTTTGTCTGGGGTCATAGTCCTTCTGCCTGAATAACTTCCTCTCCTCTTGCTGTGGGCCACACCCAGCCCTCAGCAGTCCATTCCATTTCAGCTCATTTCTCTGCTCGCCCCCTGGGTTCTGCTCAGGTGACATGGCACACAAGTCCCTCTCCTGGGGAGTGGGGGTCCTTGTATTTCAGGCAACCTGGTTGCCCTGCAGCCTCAGCCTTGGATGGATTAGAAGAAAGTTGTGGGGTTTAGCTCATCTGAATTTTTCTCATTGTTAGGGTGGGAGTGATTCTCTTTCCACTTGTCCACATCCTGGAGCAAAACATTGAATTGACTTCCAGACGTGTTCTGTCTATGAGACAGCAAGCACTTCAGATCTGAGGACAGTATTTATCCTTGGCTCTGGAAAATTCCTTCATTCTGCTCATGTGTAAAGGGGGTCCTGTGTCCTGGTAGGGGCCCCTGGACAGGTGGACCTGGGGAGAGGGAGGCATGGCCTCTGCAGGGCCCATGGAAGGAAATGTTCAGGATGGAGAGAGGAAGTGCCCATTCGCAGATGGGAAAGTCGAGGCTCCCCATCACTCTGCAGGGTCACAAGCCTGAGGGAGCACGGAGGGGCCTCTCTCTGTCCTGGGGGGTCTTCAGAGCTGGTCAAGAGCAGATTCTAGCACAAATGATGTTGGACTCATTTCCGACTTAAGACACCAGTGAAGGTTCCCCCAAGAAAGGGAGATGAGGGGACAGTGTGGGGCAGACAGGGTCTCCTGAGAGAGGAGCAGCCCTCCCCAGTCCCCACCCAACTGCTCCGGGCCACTGCTTAGGGAAGGCTCCATCACTCACACACAGCATTGTGGGACCTGCTCCTGCTGGGCACCTGGGGGCAGAACCCACTGTTTCCTCTAGTGGGGGTGGGGGGCAGCAGCCTCAGGGACCACCTGACAGTGATTGTCACACTACTTTTAGGCGCCAAGTCTGTTTCCAAAGAAAACCTCATGAAAACATGTCAAAGAGAAAACCTGGGGCTGCTCTGCCTAAACCAGGGGCTCTCGGCACAGCTGGAGGAGCGGCGGGCCCAGCTGCACCCTCACCTGCCCCCGGTCACCGGACCCGCACCTCACAGGTGCAGAGCTGGGAGCAGATGAGGAAGCCGGCTGGACCTGACCTTTCTTCCTGACCAGGCCACAGGCCACGCCCCCCGACCCCTTCCCCAGGTCACCCAGCCTGTGCTGGGCCTGCCCGACCCAGAAGGGAGCAGCCGAAGAGCAGAGGTGACAGTCACCACGACGGGCCGGGATGCAGCTCACGCCAACGGGACACCACACTCGCTAAGGAGCGCAGCTCACAGCCCTCATGGGGGGACCCGGAAACAGCCCAGAGCCCTGGGGGAGCACGCGACCACCCTACAGCACCCAGGACCCCCGGGCAGCGCAGCAGAGGGCAGCCCGTGTCCCCTCACAGACCTTCTGCTCTGGGGGGGCCTTGGTGGCTCCAGGGCCAGCCCAGGAGCTGACCAGCTAGGAGTCCACAGGCCTGGGCCAGGGGCAGTGTGGGCTCCCGAGGTCCCCCGAGGGGCGGGCCCGGAGCATCGGAGGCCCTCCCGGGCCGGTGGGGACATGGACAGACCCCCCAGCCCCGCGGGTGGAGGACCCGGGTGGTGCTCACGTGCCGGGTGTCCCCACCGGCCATCAGAGCCCTTGTGGTGGCAGGTGGGGTCGGGCGGGGGAGGGGGCGGGGGCGGAGGGGTCAGCTAGGGGCGGGCAGCGGCCTCCGCCCGGCGCCCCGGGAGGCGTGAGCGGGAAGAGGCACAGGGTGCGGGGCGAGGCACAGGGTGCGGGGCCGACCGGGGCGCCCAGCAGCCGCGACCCCTGCGGGCCCCACCCCACCGCCACACGGACCCCACTGGGCCCGGCGTCCACGCGGCAGAGGACCCGACGGGCCCCCAGCCCGCCGAGGACGCCACAGGCCGGCTTACCGCGCGGGCCTCGGCCCAGGGACCCCGGGCGCCCTGCCCTCGCCCCAGGGAGGCCGGAGCGCTGCTGCTGAGGGAGGACGCGCCGGGGTTCTCGGGTCCCACAGCTCCGCCCAGGCAGCCAGCCTGCGCTCTGCCGTAAACGGAACTGTCGTAAATGGAACTGTCGTAAACGGAACTGAAGTAAGCAGACTGGAGCGCCCTCCCTGGGGATTCCCGCTTGGGAGGCTCCGCAGGTTCAGAAGGACGAGGACAGGCAGTTCCCTAACCACGTGCGGCAGGTGTGTTCACGGACACACGCCCGCGTGCACACGCACACACAGGACGGGCTTCCTGCTGGGTCCGCAGAGCCCACCAGAACATCTCAGCTTGGTCCAGAGGTTCCGACGCCTCTACCAGCAGCTTCACAGCAGGCCGCAGGGACCCTGAGGTCACGTTTTGTCACTTTTGCAGCAGGAGCCGGCATGCGGCTCCCGATGCGTGGACCGAGAACCTCCCGGTTTTTCCCCGTGTGGAGACACAGCGAGGCGATGACACACACTCTGCACACACACACTCAGTGCTCACACACGTGCACCCGCACGCTCTTGCCCAGAGCTCTCAGGCCCTGGGTACAGGACGGAGGGCTCACGAGGGGGAAGCCCTGGGAATGGCTGGCAGAGGAACCTGAGTCCTGTTCACAAATTCTGGGTTGGGGGACTTCCTGGGAGGGGGGCCACCTGCATCTCACTACCAACAAGGGCTTTGCACACGCCAAGAGCAGGACAGGGCGGGTCACGGCTCCCTGGGGGTCGCTCTAGGGAAGGGGGTCACGTGGTTGCATTTGTACACGAACTTTCCCAAAGCCACACCAACATAACTGCAGGTGTCCCCCACGTCCCGGGCGGAGCCTGGTGAGCAGACCCCACAGAGGGCCGAGGGGCCCTCTCTGGACCGTCTGCAACCACTCGCCCATCGGGAAGCAGCTGATCCTAGACCCCTGCACGACGGCGCACCCAGACCCCCGGCACTAAGGGAAGCACACAAGCACGGCGTCTTTGCCCAAGTTTATTAGGAAAGTAAAGAATTGAACAAAGGCTCGGAAAATAAATATCCGCAGAGAGGAATTAGGAAGCCGGAAAGCTCAGAGGGTCAGCAGGGCGATGAGGAGGACAGTGGAGGGCGGGGCCTGGGTGGCCGCGCCTGCCCTGCTCACCTCCTCCACGGAGGCGGGGCCGTGAGGCCAGAGCGCCGCACGCGGCTGGGGGTGCTGCCCTGGGGCGGCAGGAACTCGCAGGTGGTGTCCTGGCACAGGCAGCTCTCGATGTGAGTGTAGGTGTAGTCCAGTGAGCCGCCGTGGGGACAGTCCAGCACCACCTTCCGCTGGCTCGTGCGCTGCTCCTTGCAGCAGGTGCACCTGTGGTCCAGGGCCTGGGCCTCGGCAGAGTACCTGGGGGAGGGCCACAGTGAGGAGCCACTCCCTCCTGGAGGGGGCAGCCTCCCCTTCCCCTCCCCCAACCCTGGCCACTCGTGGCCTGGGACTCACATGGCGAAGGTCCCGCATGACCCGGAGCAGTAGTTCATGGTCACCAACTTGCTGCAGCCGGCATGTGAAATTTCCTTGGTAACGGGGATGGTGGAGCAGGGGATCCTGGTCTCATTGCGAAGGATGCCTGGAGGTGAGGAGGTGGAGGCTCTGAGGCGGGGTCTCCACACTTCAAGGGGGCCCACCAGGTCTCCCTCACTGCTTCCTCTCCTGTCCCCAAGTGCACCTCGCCTGGCCCTCAGCTGCCCACCCTGGGCGCAAGCACCCACCTCGGCCACCCTCTAGCAAGCTGGGCACCCCCAGCGACACTCTCAAACTCCTCACTCTGCTGAGAGGGGCACAGAGGGGACAGGGCTCCCAGGGCACCATCCCCTCATGCCTTCCTCCCCACAGGGCGGCCTGGGTTTAGCCCACCCACCAGGCCCTGCCTCAGACCCCGGGATCAGCCCACCGAGCGTTCTGTACTCACACTTCCTGCAGCAGCCGTTGGGCATGAGCGTGATGGAGCCCTGGAGGAAAGGAGGATGAGCCTGCGCTCCAGAGACCTTCCCCCACCTCTGAGCACCCCCTAGGCAACAGGCGTGGGAAGGGGCAGTTTCTGCAGAATGGGCTAAGGCCAGAGGCCACTGTCCCAGCACTGGGGCTTCAGACCCACGGTAAAATAGGGGACGCCCACTCCCCGGGCTCACTCACCGGGAGGCAGGCGCTGGCGTCAAATTCCGGGCAGGTGATGTTGGAGATGGACGAGATGAACTGGTTGTGGATTTTCATGCAGCTGAAGAAGGTGCAGTTGTTGGTGGGGTCCCTCTTTACGTCCCCGGGCTGTGGGGCAGAGGACAGCATGGTGAGGGCCCGCAGGAGGCCCACCCAGAAAGACAGACTGGAAACACCTGGAAGGTGCCTGACCAGCCAGCCAAGTGCAGCTTCTCAGGCAGGAGGCCCAGCCTGCAGGCCCAGAGTCACTGGGCAGGTGACACCCAGGAAGGGCCCAGGGGCAGCCACCAGCCTGTAGTCCACAGACGCGTCCTCGTCCTAAACCCCAGAACTCATGGAGGTGACCTTTTCTGGAAAAACGGTCTTTGCAGCCATACTTAAGATCTCGAGATGAGATCCTCCTGGACTACTGGAGGGGGCCCAAAATCCAATGACAAGTGTCCTTGTAAGACACAGAGAGACAGAGGAGAGGGTCGTGTGAGGACAGGCAGAGACTTGAGTGTTGCAGCCACAAGCCCAGGAAGGCCTGGAGCCCAGAAGCTGGAAGAGGCAGGAAGGACCCTCCCTGGGCCAGAGGGAGCGCCGCCCTGCCCACACCTGGGCCTCAGACTCCAGCCTCCAGGATGGGGCGGGGTGGGGGCATGGGGGAATCCTGCCTGTTGTTTCAGCCCCCAGTCTGTGGTCCCTTCTAGCAGCCACCCAGGACAGTGGCACAGAGGACTCAGCCAGGGGCAGCGGGAGTTGTCCCAGGCCATGCCCTCAGACCCAGGCCGACCCTTCCGCGACTTGAGCAGCCCTGAGCAGGGGACTCGCGCACCTTCAGGATGTACTGCCCGCTGGGCTGGTTGATGATGCAGTGGGTCTGCTCACACTTCATGCAGCACTCCCCAGGGGCCTCCACGAGCTCATAGCCCTACGAGACATGGGGTTCAGGTTGGCGAGGGAAAGAAGACAGGAGCTGTTGGGGCCATAACCCCACTCCTCGAGGGAAGCGACAGGGTGGCGGCTGCTTACGGGGCTGCAGGACGTGCTGCAGGGCACGTGGGTGCAGGAGATGACGTTGAGCTGTGTGGTGCTGTTCCTGCTGCCGGTGCACATGCAGTTCTGGCACTTGGAGGAGTAGACTGGAGAGCCGGGCTGAGGGCACAGGGAGGGGCGAGTGAGGCTGGGCACCCTCCACGCCTCCCACCTGCCTCGGGGAGTGCAGCTCCCATCCCAGAAGGCTCCAAGGGTGGGAGAGAGGAGCTGCTTGCCCCGGGCATGGCTCGCACAGCAGAGTTCCCAGAATGGGCCCTCACCCGCATCCCACCCGGCCAGAGAGCCAGCCCAGGACCCCACCACTCCTCCCCTGCCTCCACCTCCCATTGGCCCAGCCCAGGGCTCACCTGGTACTCAGCATTCCCGACAACACACACGTTCTTGGGCACTGGGGAGAAAGAACGGGGGAGGCAGTCAGACTGCCCTGCTGGGCCCAAGGACACGCACAGCCAGTGGACGGGGTGGGAGCTCATGGCCTGGGGGTGGGGGGGAGGTGCATCGGCCATGCAGAATGAGTCCCTCAGGAGGGAGCCACTTCACCACATGGTCTCACTCAAGCCACAGTCAGCCCCAGCCCCAGGGCCTCCTCCTGCCCTGGCCCCCGGGCCCCACTCACCACACGAGTAGTGGGGGCAGCACCTTCCCGGCACCATCTCGCTCTTCAGCCCGAATCCCAGCGAACACACAGGGGGCTTCTCCCTGCACAGGCTGGCATTGCACTCTGAAGAGGGGAGGAAACACGGTAATGAGCATGGCTCCTTGAAGGCTGCGCCCCGCCACTACCCGCAGTGCAGGGTCAGGACTTGGGCATCTGCAGGTGACGAGCATGAGCAGCAGGCCCATCACAGCCTCCTCCTCCAACACCCACTCTCAGTGGGACACACCCTGCGGCCGCTGCTCCCCAGCTCCCCAGGGAGGTGAAATCACCACGGAGAATTTACACGGTGAATCCGGGGGCCCTAGGAGGGGACAGGTGCCCTGGGGCCCAGGCTCAGCTCCCCTCCCCCGGGGCGTGGCCTTACTGCAGGAGGTGATGGTGCAGCAGGTGTCCTCGGGGTTGACCTCCGTGACCAGGTAGGTGCCGTCCTCTTTGCACTCAGGCAGGGGCTTCTGGCTGCACTTCCTGGGCTGACAGATGATGCCTCTTCCACCCTCCAGGCAGATGCAGTTCTTACAGTCAAACTCAAAGCGCTCCCCAAACTGCAGGAGGAAGGGGGTGAGCAGGGAGAAGAGCGGGCGGCCTCGCCACGGGCCGGGGCTGCGGGAAAACCTGTGCCCTCCCACCTCTGAGCACACGGGGCAGGTTCTGACCCAGGACAAAGGCACTCATTTAGGGCCAGGCCATTAATATCTCAATCGTGACCTGCTCACCAGCATTTGCCTACAACACGTGGGCCTGGCTCAGGGCAGACACACCACAGGTGTCTAGAGGGTTGGTGAAGCATGAAACTAAGGAATCAACCATGGGTGGGAGACACGACAGTGCAGTGGCAGGATATCATCTCGGTTCCAGACAGCATCACATGAGCAATGGGTGGGTGTTGTGGATGGGTGGAGGATATGTTGATGGAGGGATGGATGGAAGGGTGGATGGATGGAAGAAAGGAGGGGCAGACAGAGGGACAGATGGTTGGGTGGATGGAAGGATGGAGGGACAGACAGAGGGACAGATGGTTGGGTGGATGGAAGGATGGAGGGACAGACAGAGGGACAGATGGTTGGGTGGATGGAAGGATCGGGGGACAGACATTGGGACAGATGGAAGGGATGGATGGGGGACAGATAGAGAGATGGATGGAAGAATGGAAGGATGGAGGTCAGAACAGAGGGATGGATGGAGGGTCAGACAATGGGATGGAGGGGTGGACAGACAGAGAGACAGGGGGTGGAAGGATGGACAGAGCAGAAGGAGAGGGATAGTAGGGGGGGACAGGGCAACAGATGGATGTATGGGTGCATATCGTGCTAGCTCAGCCTTCCAGGACTTAAATGCCTCATTACTCAGTCTTTGAGGCTCCCAGGTTCTAGTGCCCACCCCACCCCACCCCCACAAAATTCAGGATTTGTGGGAGAATCCCGCCTCAGCACCAAGGAGGAGGGCCGACCTTTCTGGGCACGTCATCAGGTCCCACACAGCCTAGGAGGAGAGAGGAAAGGAATCCTGTCAGCAGAGTCCTGGTGCCACAGGAGCCAGGCTCAGCCTCTTGGAGACAGGAGGGAGGCACCGAGAGCAGGCAACGTACCGCAGAACTCCACGCAGACATCAAAGCCGGGGGCGTAGCTGGTGGTGCCCTCGGGGCAGAAGCAGCCTTCCACTACGCCTGTGTCGTTCAACGGCAGCGAGGAGCTGGAGGGGTGGGGGGCTTCGTGAGATGGGGATGTGGACGGGCTGGGGAGCGGGCATGCTGGAGCACCACGCTCAGATAGTACCGCCCAGGGACCGAGCCCACCATCCCGCACGTCTCCCAGCGACTGACCTGGACCTACAAGTGGGCTCCTCGGCAGGACCGCAGGCCCGGTACTCCCTGTGAGACGGGCACGTAACCGCTGTGGGAGGGAGGCAGCAGTCAGAGGGGCCAGAGATGTCAGAGGAGCCTGTGCCTATCCCCCTGTCCCCTGACCAGTGACAGTCCTGCCCAGCCCCTCCCACAAAGGACCCACACTCCCACACTGGCTGAGGGTGGCCAGCTGCCCGCTGCTGCCCGCCTTGGTCCCCCATGCTGTCCCGAGCCGGGAGGTCGGTGCCCAGTGGTGCTTAGCAAGGCTGGCAGTCCGTCCAGTGCACCCAGCCCCTCCAGCCTGCCCTCCTTCCCCACCCAAAGGTCCAGCCTGTTTCCATGGGGGCCTGGCCACCCCACCCTGGTCTGGCTTCAAGCTGGTACAGTGCCCTCCAGAGTCCAGACTCCCCAGCCGTTTTTCAGCAACCCCGCCCAGGGGCTGGAGCAGGTGAGCACTTACGGCAGGCCCCCTGGGTGCGGTTCCGCCAGTCAATGCAGACGCCCTCATGGGCACAGAGGGCAGCATAGGTCTGCAGGCTAGCACACTCCATGCCCGAGTTGGGCACCAAGCAGCTATCGAACACGCAGGCATCGTAGTAGTGTTGGGGGGGCACCAGGGCGTGGCACTTGGCAAACAAGCTGTTGGGGAGGGGTGTGGGTCACGCTTCAGCCGGTGCCACCAGGCTCTCTCACTGCCCGCCACCCAGCCCCTCTGCCTGGGCTGCCCTCCTGGAGCTCAGCCTGTATCCCACCAAGGGAGCCGGCACAGTGGCCCGAGGATGAGGCCGTGGGGCCGGGCTCAGAGATGGAGGCGCCACATCTAAATGGCCACCGGGTCCCAGGATCCCACCTCCAGAAACCCTGGCAGAGGGCCACCCAGCCTTGACTTGCATACCTCTGGGCACGAGGCGCTCGCTCCCATGGATGCCAGCTTTGAGGGTGCCCCCTCTCTGTCTACACCCCAATCTGCCTCCCTGGTTCAGCCCTGAATGCTAGCTGCGTTCTGGGTCCACTGGTCTACCCCAGGCTTCAAGTTCAGCCTATCCTGCACCTCCCAGGAGGCAGGAGAGATTCGAGAATCAAAAGAGGCAGGGGGGGTGTCTGATGAAGCAGCTCGGCCCCATAGAAATGAGGAGCCCGAGCCCTAAGGCCCTCGCCTTCCCAGCCCCACACCAGGCCCCCAGCCTCGTCTCCTCTGTGCAGACAGGGCCCGGGGGTGGGGGGTGCACAGAGAGGCGAGGCTGCTCCCTGAGTCTCTGCAGCTCTCTAGTGACGAGGCCACAGACTGGCCGGGAGCAGGGTCACCTGTCCTTGATGAGCTCGCAGAGGGAAGGATCACAGTCCTTGGGTGTGGTGGTGCTGCTGCCCACTGGCGTCGTGGTGGCCGGGCGTGGGCTGGTGAAGCTGGAGTGGGGACAGTGCGGCTTGGAGGGGTCGTCCACCACCCACTGGTCAGCTGCGACCTCGCAGTTGGAGATGACCTCCCCACTGGGCAGCACGCAGTCATCCGAGGTGGTGTTGGTGCAAGTGCCTGGGTTGGCGAGAAGGGCCAGGTTGTCCAGCAGACCCGGTGAGCGCCTGGGACCCCTCCCCTCCTCCTCCCCAGGTCCTCTGGGGACCAGCTGGCCAGCGCCGAGGGCACAGACTAGACTAGACTCCTATTGGTGTCCCACAGGGGCAAAACCGGGATGACGGCCATGGGGGCTCCAAGCAGAGGAGGAGGACCTCATCCAGGCTGGCAGGTGCCCACTCCCCGCTGGCCTCCCAGGGCAGGGCGCAGGAGCCGCACGGGGCAGGGGCTCACCACACTGGCCCTTGGTGTTGTTGCCAAACAGGCGGTAGGGCAGCCTGATGGAGAAGGAGAGGCCATCGTAGGAGATGAGGGCGCCCAGCTCGGGGATGTCCACCACGTACTTGAAGCCGGACTCATACACCTGCAGCCCGAACTTCTTGTAGGGCAGCGCCACGGACTGCTCGTTGACCTGCACCTGTGGCCGACACACCTGAGGTCAGAGGGCAAGCCTGGCAGAAGCTACCCACTCAGCGGGAGGCCTGCCCTTCCCTGGCAACCAGGACAAAGGAGCCTTAAGTACGTGAGGGAGGGGGCGGGTAGGCTGCACCTTCAGAGAGCGCCTGGGGCCACAGCACCCTCCTCATCACACCATGTGGTGGTGGGTGCTACCCTTTCTCAATTCCTTTTCAGTGCACTGAGCAGACTTGTCCAGGCTGGTCCCAGGGGTGAGGGCCCCTAGACTCTGGGCTCCGAGCAGAGGGTGGGGCTTCCCTGGCCATGGGAGCCAACCACTCCATGCGGTGTGTGCACCTGTGCTTGGGGAGGGGGCTTCTGCCTCAGACGCCTGTGCTCAGGGCGGGTGGTGGGGTCAGGAGAGGGGAGGTTGAGGGGTCCCTGACGCCCCTGGTGGCCCTGTGAGAAGGGCCGCATGTGTCCCATGAGCACTGACCCCCTCCCAGCCCATCTCTGGGGTTGCAGCCCAGCCCCCGCCAAGGGAGGGAGCCGTATGGATGCCCCGCCGTGGCCATGGGTCCTGCCAGCATACCTGCACCTTCAGGGGCAGCATCTGCACCGTCCTGAGCTGGACCTCCTGGCTCTCATGGCGCACGATGAGCGTGCGGGGGCAGGACACTCGGTCGGTGACATCGCAGTGGTAGTTGTCGATGTAGACCCCGAAGTTGTCCACGGTGGGGTTGACCTCCTCCACCAGCACGTACGTGCAGTTGCCCTGGTAGCTGTAGTAGAGCCCGTCGAAGGTGGTGTAGTGTGGGTCCCCCCAGCCTGTGCAGTAGCCTGTGGAGGGAGCCCGGGTGAGCCGGGGGCAGAGGAAGGGGAGACCCGGGGGGAGGGGACAGGATGCAGTCAGGAGCTCAGGGAGGGTGAGAAGAGCAGGGAGGATCCTAGGGACATGGAAAGTCTGGTCTGGGACAGGCGGGGCATTCGGGCTGGGGAGATGGGGGTCAGCTTTTTCTGGCCCCCACAAGGCATCTCCCCACGCAGCCCTCAGCGGCCGTTCCTTCTGCAGGACGGGGCCTGGCTTTGGAGCCAGAAGGTCCAGGTTCAAACTCCAGCTCTGCCCCTCTAACCGCGAAGGTGCCCGCCCTCCACCAGGCATGCCCCACCCCTGCCCAGCCCTGGGAAGTCCCTCTGGAGGTGTGCTTGGCCCTTGGTGAGCTCGGCTGACAAGGCCGTCACATCCAACCTGGGGTCTGCACCGGGGGATCTCAGTCCACACAGCCCCCGCCCACGGAAGGGAGGAGGTGGGGAGGGTCCAGCCACAGCGCGGGCTTACAGTCGCACTCCCAGTGCCAGCAGCAGCCGTCGGGGTCCGGGACGCGCACGGGCGTGAGGTTGTTGGAGCAGGTGGGCATGGGTGGGGGCTCACACTCCACGTGCACGATCTCCACCGTGTTGTCGTGCTTGCAAGTGGCCATGATGCAGTCGCAGAGCCACCACGTCTCGTTCTCCTGAGGGCGGGGAGGGCGCAGGGTCAGGGGGACAGGCCCCACCACCCGGCCCACGCAGGACACTGCTTGTGAGGCCCCAGGGTGAGCACCTAAGAGCCCTCCCCAGGAGGCTGGAGGCCAAGGGCCGCCCCATCAGGGAGGCGGCTTCAAGGCCACTGTGCTGCAGCAAGAGCACAGCACTGTGCTCCTTGTGGGTGAGACGGCGGGTGCCCCAGCAGACCCCATGTCGGAAAGGCAGCTTGGAGCCATGGCCTTACTGGGGATGGTGCGGGGCATGGGGGACAGAGGCATCTCGGGTGACCAGCAGGAAGGCAGTGCCTGGGGCATTGAAGGCCTGGACAGTGGGGACACAGCTGCCCACAGCCCACTGACCTTTCTAGGAGGATCAAAGTCGGGGCACTCATACACAGGGAGCGTGGTGGTGGTCAGCGTGCTTGATGTTGTGGACGGCGTGGGCGTTGGCGTGGGTGTGCTGGGCGTTGGGGAGGGGGTGGACGGGCAGGACCAGTTGAAGAATTGCAAGGAGCAGTCCAGCGAGCAGTTCACGTAGTAGCAGGTGTCCCCGTGCGTGCCGTTGTACACCACCTCGCCTGCAGGGGGAGAGACCAGTGCCTACGCCATCCAGGCAGGGCTGGCCGCCAGTGTGCACAGGCGGGTCCCCACCCACGCCACCAGAGGGGAGCCCACCACCCATCTCCCCCTGACTCATGGCTGCAGCAAGGTGGGGCTGGCCACAGAATCAGCTCCCCCCACTTGGCACCCAGCTTCCCGAGCAAGCTCCTGGTTTAGACCTGAAACCTGACTCCTACCCATGGAAAAGCAGAGGCCAAAGTCCCACCAGCCTCCACTGTCTGAGAGTTGGAGGGAGAAGCCTGCGTACCTGGGGCATAGTACGTGTTGTTCAGAACACAGCAGGGGCTGATGGTATTGACGACCAAGCTGGTGGAGATGATGGTGCTCGGGGTACTGGGTGGGGTCGGGGTAGGGGTGGACACGCTGGTGGTCGAGGTGCTGGTGGTCTGTGGCGTGGTCGAGGTCGGGGTGCGCGTTCCCGTGGTGGTCGTTGAGACAGTCACAGGAGTGGGTGTGGAAGGGGATCCTAGGGTGGGCGAGGAGGGCCCGGCGGTGGTCCCGCTGGTGGGGGTGGTCTTTGAGGAGGTGGGACCTGACGTCTGCGTGCCTGTAAGAATGGAGGTGACGGGTGAGGGCTGATGGCAGCGGCTCATCATAGATGCACAGCTGGACAGTTCCCTTGGGGCGAGGTATGTGGCATGGAAAGACCCCATGTCCATTGCCCCAGCTCTTGGTCAGGGTGAGCAGGGCCACAAGCACGGTGTGGGCAAAGGGGAGGCCCACGTGGGAGGAGCGCCTGCCCCTGGGCAGCAGCAGTGCTCGCCCCCCTGGCCGGAGGGGTTGTCACGGGCCACTGGCCCATCCGAGGACACTGACCAGCTGCCCTCCGAAGCCCCAGTGATGAGGCGCAGGCAGAAGAGGAGGATGGAGGGAGGGTCTCCCGGGGCACCTGCCTGGCAGCCTCTGCCCCCCCACCTGGCTCTGGCCCCATGTGCCTCAGTGGGCTCCCCTGGTGATGGTTTTGCCCATGTTGCCCATCACACAGGTGTGAGTTGAGGGAGGTGGGCCGCAAGCAGCTGTCCTAAGGAAGGAGGTTCTGTGGGGGCAAGTGGGCAGCCTTCAGGTCAGCCGCCCACACACAGGCCAATGGTAAGCGGCACACTGAACGCTCGGTGGCCAGGCTCCACTGGTAAGGGAGGCTCACCAAGCCCACTGGAACCTTCCTGGAGACCCATCTCACAAGGCAGGGCAGGGGGCACCAGCTCAGGTCCAAGGAGCTTCAACTCTCTCCTGGGAATTGAGTGAGCTCTCCAGGTTGAGGAGGAAGCAACAGTGTGTGCCATGGGGGCTGTGTACCTGGAGTGGTGGTGGCAGGGCTTCCTGTTGTAGTGACCGTTGGTGTTGGGGGCCATGGTGTGCTGGATGTCTCCCCGATTGTTGGGGTGGCAGTCAGAGGCGTGGTTGATTCCGTGGAAAAGGGGGAGGTGGACGGAGATGTTGGAGGGGAGGAGGACTCAGGCGGTTTTGGTGTGGTGGTCTCACCCGTGGTTACTGTGCCTGTAGGGGTTGGGGTCTCCGTGCTTCTGGAGAGGATGCTGGGCGTTGAAGCTGGCGTCTCAGTGGTGGTAGTAGTGGTGGTGGTTGTGGTCTCTGTGATGGTGGGAGTGGGAGTGGTGGTCTCTGAGGTGGTGAGGATTGGGGTCGGGGTCTCTGTGGTGGTGGTGGTGATGGTAGGGATTGAGGTTGGGGTCTCCGTGGTGGTGGTGGTGGTGATGGTGGGGGTTGGGGTTCCTGACATAGTGGTTATAGTAGGGGCTGTAGTCTCTGTGGTCGTGGTGGTGGGCGTCAGGGTGGAGGTCCTTGGGGTGGTGCCCGTGGTGGGTGTTGTGGTCTCTGTGGTGGTGATGGTAGGGGTCACAGTGGAGGTCTCAGTGGTGGTAGGAGACGATGTGGAGAAACACAACCCACAGCAGTAGACGTTGATCTCATAGTTGAGGCAGTAAGGCATGGGGAAGGGTCCCCCTGGCTTCTGGTCTTGGTTTTTGCACACCAGTCCAACAGAAGTGTCGCAGACCACCGTTTGTCCAAGCTGTTCGTTGGGAACGTCAGTATGGTTAGTGGATCTGCAGGAGATGTTGGCCGCCCAGCCTCTTCCACAGACATCTCCGATGGGTTCAATGTCTGCACCTTGTTCGGTAACATTTGGTTTACCAGAATCCAGCCAGCCAGTCCATTGGCAGTCATCCTCACACACAGTGCTGATAGAGCTCGTGGGCACGGTGGTCATCGTGGTGGGGGTTGGTGTTGGGGTCTCTGTGCTGATGGTGGTGATGATGGCGGAGGTAGGAGTTGAGGTCCTTGAGGTGGTGCTCGTGATGGGCGTTTTGGTCTCTGTGGGGATGGTGGTGATGATGGTGGGGGTCAGAGTTGGGGTCTCAGTGGTGGTGGTGCTAGGAGTCATGGTTGTTGGCCCTGGGCTGGCGGTCGTGGTGGAGGCTGTGTTCTCTGTGGTTGTGGTGCTGGCAGTGGGGGTTGTTGTCCTTGGGGTAGTGGTCATGGTGGGAGTTGTGGTCTGTGTGGTGGTGGTGCTGGGGGCCAGGGTTGTTGTCCCTGGGGTGATGGTGGGGGTCGGGGTTGAGGTCTCAGTGATGCTGGTGCTGGGGGACAGGGTTGTTGTCCCTGGGGTGGTGATGGTGGTGATGGTGGGGGTCGGGCTTGGGGTCTCAGTAATGCTGGTACTGGCAGTCAGGGTTGTTGGCCCTGAGGTGGTGGTGGTGGTGCTAGTTGTGGTCCCTGTGGTGGTGGTGGTGATGGTGGGAGTCAGAGTTGGAGTCCCTGGGGTGCTGGTCGTGATGGGGGTTGTGGTCTCTGTCCCAGTGGTGGTGG